CTCCCCCCCCCCCATTTGCTAGATCCCTATGGAGTCAGAGGGCAGAGAAAGCATCATCATGAGAGAAGGGGGTTTCTTCTGAACTTCTTTCTTGTCCTTACGAGCAACCATATAAAAAAAAATGGTGGTTGTAAGACTTCCAGTACACGGAGGGTCAGGTACTTTTTGCTTCCTTTGCAACTTTAACTGAGAGCTACTTTTCCTCCTTGTCCCTGAGGACTTTTTAAAACAGGTGATGAGCTTACAGAGAAACAAAACCTAATCCAAGAAGAACACAGTAAATTCCAAGTTAAAACTGTTGCGGATTGAATTCTTCAAAATTTTCAAAGACAAGCAATTCCAAACTGACGAGACACTCTCCCCCTAATCTATCCCATAGCACCTACATGCTTGGAAGACTCTTAGCTCAGTAATATTGATATTATTGGTTGTAGGTCACTGGATGCTAGCAGCAACCTTACACTGATTTCAGCAGAGATTTGTGTAGAGACCGTACGGTCTTGTGGCTCCAAGTGGAACAGAAAGCCAGCCCTAACCTTTAACTGGTCTGCTGTTGCTGTTTTAAATGTTATTCAAACACAATTAAGGATGCTATTAAAAGAGCCTGAAGAGATCAAGTTAGTTGCAGCTACTCTGTTTATACAGAATTCATTATTCTGAGCAAATCCTGTGAAGACTCTTAACGTGTGCATCACCTAGCAGAATGGGCACAAAGGGAGACAGTCAAATGTTGTTGCAAGAAGTCAATAGAAAGTTCAAAGCTGCACAAGGCAGGCAACACGCATGCACTAGCACAGGACGTAAACAAGGTTTCAGTTGTCATGCTGCTGGCAGGGAGTGAGTCATCACTCCTCAAGTTTAGTATTGCAAGGAGAAAGTAATTTTAATCTGGGAATACAAATTTAGGAAACGGGCGAGGAGGGTACTTGGCAAGCTTACTGTATGTGAGATGACTCCAGTGATTTCAGGCTTCAAGCCCCTGTGCAAAGCCCCCGTGACTGGAGGGACAAGTGAAGGTGGTGATGAGAAGAATGGCAGTTTCGGGTAAACAGAGGGTAATGTGCCAGATGCAGAGGGTGCTTGGTTATGGTGGGAACCCCTCTGGAGATGTGGGGGAATGAAATCGTCTAGAGTCGGAAAAGTCAAGGGTGAGCCAGGAGAAACAGTCTCAGGGAATACGGAGCCTTGCCCAAAAGGAACCAGAGGCGGTGGCGGAGTGCTGGAGCTGCCTTCTTGCTGTCTGTCTGGATTAACCTGGAGGAGGGGGACTACTATAACCCCAGGCTGAGCTGTGGTGGTGGCAGTGGCGTCCTGTAGGAAACAAGGTGTTGTTATGCAACGGGGAAGACTGGTACTTTAGTCTAACGCAGCCATATAGTGTCATGCAAGGATGCACCCAAAATGATACGAAGCCCCAACAGATTTTCTTTCCTTATGGAGACGTACTTCCTCAGTCTTGCAGCCCTGGCTTCTATGAATACACATGGTTTTTCACAAAGATGTTCCTTCCCCTCACCGCCCCTCTTCTCCAGTTCTGTGCAGCGAGGCTAAGTCAAACCACAGAACAGCTCTGCATTCACCATCATTTGAGAAGCACTGACCATCACATTACAGAGTTTGCTTCTTTTACACCTCCCTAAAATAGAAAGATCCTCGCCAGCCCAACCCAACCCCCTACAAACACCACACACGCACAAACACACAGATCAATGTTGGAGGGGCGCGCATGGGGTGTTAAGTATTATCAAGTAGAAGACCACAAGACTCAGGTGGCACAACGAGTGCTCAGAAATTAAGTAGGAGGGGAATAAAGCATTAAGGGAACATTGTAATGAATTAAAGAACCGTTCACACGGCTGAAAGAAAACAAGTTTATGGAGAAAACATGTACCATGCTGCGTCCCATTGCCTTGTATGGTGGCTGTCGCTGCTGAGTAAGGTAAGGCTCTTTTCTCATCCTGTCCTCTGTGGCAGTTGTGCTCTGGGGCTCTAGCACTCTGTCCCTCACAGCTTGCGGAGGTGACGACTGAGTCCAGGAGGGTTGGCCCGCACCATAACTAACTGCGTCTTTACTGAGGACAATGTAAAAGTACGGCCTGGGAGGAATAGGAGGAGGAGGAGGAGCAGGAAGAGACTTTCCAGTATCTGTTACAGAGGAAACAATGTCGGTGGCTGGTGCCTGAGTGAGCTCAGCGCCCAAACTGGTGCTGGCTGCTGGGTCATGTGTGGTGCCAGTGGAATTTTCAGATGCAGCTAAGCAAGTGCTGTTAGATAAACAAGCTACATATAGTTTGGTGACCTTTTTATCCGCCTTCGTCTCATGACTGGAATTCATTCCAGCCTTACTACTGGGATCTGCCCTGTCAGGGTTACGTTGTATGGATGATGCATCCAACGAGGAGCGACCTTCTAAGAGTGGCTGCCCAGCATGCACCTCACCTTTGGGGCCTGAAGAGTGAGAATGCCCTGCTGGCAAGCCTTGCTTCCCACCGAGGATGGCCCCATAGGGGGTAGGTGATGAGAAATAACAGCGTGCACTGGCATTTGGTGATGCACGCTGCGTATAAGGCTTGGGTGCATTCAGGTACACGCAGTCCATGATGGGCACTGGCAACAGGTTGGTCACTTTAGTGTCAGTGCGAGGACGCCATGCAAAGCTTTCCTCTTTGGGAAGAGGAGGACGGGGAGGAGCAAGGGCCTGCCCAGGCAGAGTCAAGAAGGAAGAGAGGGAGAGAGGAAGTAGCACCAAATGAAAGGAAAAAGGAAGGAAAAAATAAATAAATTCGAAGAATGAATTCGGTCATTAGACTTGGGTTAAGCAGGTTTTAATACAGCAAGAACAAAAAGCAAATACAGTATCTGGAAGGCTGGTGCAGAACTCACTCACATACATCATCTCACACATTCTCTCTTTCTTAGCACTGCTCACTGCAGCAGGCAAACTCTACCCAGCTCTCAAGTCCCTGCCTACACGTTTCTCTCTCTGGGCTAAATAAATCTCAGTGCTGTATTGTTTCAAGAGGCCTGCACAGCAACACCCACAATGCCCCTGGGAAAGCCCGAGTCAAGATTTAACTTCCTAGCTAACTAAACCCAGGCTCATGCCTGCCTAACTAAATACTTCCCAGCACTGGGGACATTTGAATCGCATAGCCAGATTCACAGCTCTAGGCCATCTCTGCTACATGGTACGTGCACTGCCGAAAAATGAACCTTGAGAAGTTTCACCAGTGCTAATGAAGCAGACATCATGTGAAAACTACAGTCTGCCACAGCTGGCTAAGTAAAAAGTCAGCATTTCTTCCTTCTAAAAGCTAGCTCTCAAATTCTTTTCAGAATTTTTCAGTCCTGAAAATGATTTCAGGAAGACCAGAACAATTAAAGTTTCTTGAGGAACTGAGTTCATAAGAATTTGCCTCCAGAATCAAGATCACTGGCAGAGAAATCCTGCTTCTAGTAAGTAATAAGAAAAAGCTTTACTGGTTTTGGTACTTTGCAACATATAGGTTGCTAACTCCACAGCTGCCTTCTGACTGCAACTCCAACTCCAATTACAGTGAATTTTTTCTGAAAGCCAAACTGTTTTGAAGTAAAATAACTTTGCAATAGAGAGATTTCGTTTATTGCTTTGTTGCCAGTAGCTGAAAACTATAAACTACTGAAAGGAAGAGAACTAAAACACCCACCTAGTGAACAGTAGCTCCCTGCATTCTTGCAAATTAACCCTCTGGAGACTATGAAAGTAGGTTTTACACACACCCTGTTGTCATATCTTTATGGGCAAAGGCTGGCTAAACCACTGCTAAAATGGCCAAAACCAGAGAATGAAGATGCCTTAATAGCTTGCAACATTCAAATCTGAAAAATACCTCCTTTAAAATTCATCCACATATGACAGGTTGTGGCCAGCACCTATTCTTGTTACATAGATATAGACCTAGAACAGCTTCGTAAAATTACAGCTGCTGTCCTGAAATCTGTCCTCATGCTGCCCCTCTTTTCCCCGCTTCCCTGATGTGTAAAGGAGTGGAGAAGTGGGTTAGTAAGTGCTCCTTCAGAAGGGCTTCTGCTTCTGGAACAGGCTCATTCCTTTTGCTTCCTTAAGGACAGTAGTTTCAGTCTGGAGACTTCAGAGTGCCACAATATTTCCCCTAGGTTAGGTGAAGCCTCACTTCACCACTACATAGTATTATCAGGAAATACTAATTCACCACCTGCAATTGCTGTTTTTCATTTTCTTCCATTTCAGCTTAGTTTGGACAGCAGTCCTTGAGACTTCTTATAGAAGTACTATGTGCATCTGCGCCCTCTCTGTTCATCAACAAGATCAGTAAGGGACTACAGGACAGCTCTAAGTATCAGGCAGTAAATGGGTCTCTCCTTTAGGGTGCTGCTCCTTCCCATGCCTTCATCTGAGTTGTGCCTTCTTCCACTTTCACTTACAATTTCAGGAACAGTGTCTGTTCTGTGGCATTGCTATAGGTCCCTGATGATGGGAGCAGTCACCTTGATAGGGGAGGACAAGGCTTTAAAGGGACTCTGTTTCACACAAGAAAGCGGTTTCTAACAGAGGGTTTCCTTATCAGCTTTCAGACTGCTTCTGTGCAGACCGACCACCCAAAAGAAAAAGGATGAAGTAACACTCCTCTTTAACAGATTGACTTCATCAATTTACCTTCAGGTACAAATAACCTTTCCCTTGTTGGGTTGTATCAGTTACAGTGTTAAAACTGAAAGGCATTTCCCCAATATCTTGTTTTTAATGTAGGGTGTAACTCTGCTTTCAGCCTGCGGCAACCTCTAGGAAATAGACCAACGTAAAAGACAAAACAGTAATAGATAACTACTTCACCTTTTTTCTTGCAAACAAATAGCGTTGTCCTCCTCCTTCATCCAGCAAGGAAACACTGTGGCGTGCCTGAACACACAAGCTCCACAGCATTCTGCTGACATCAGTGTTGCCCGCATTTTAAAGGTAGGAAAAACTGAGGCACAGCAACTTACCCAAGTCTGCAGCTAAGTTTGGAGTTCAACCCAGGACTCCTGACCATGAATCCAATGCTTGAACCCAGATCACCACCCTCACGGTCACAGAAGAAAGGCTTACCTGTGGCTTGCTGTCTGAGGAAAGGTTCGGACGCACACTCCTATAACCCTTGGCAGCCAGAGAAGATGGTTGGGCATCCCCATTGGCATCAGTGTTAGATGACGACCTCCAATCATCTACGAGGGGAAGGAAAACTCAGATCACAGAGGATTCCCTCCAGCTACAGGACGAGCGAAAGGAGGGGACTCTTTCTTTTTTTTTTCCTTTTTTTTTTTTCCAGGCAACAAGAAATACTTCCAAGAAAGCAACAAAAGCAACAACATAAGCAGCCAATGTTTGTACCTGTTTCTGGGTTTTCTGGCTCCAGACCTAAGCATTTCACAGAAAGGAGGGATGGAAGAGATGGGGGAGGAGGATAGACATAAAGGAAAAGAAAGGGGAAAAAAAATAAACCATTACATTTACAGAAAACATGTACCAATTGAAGTTAAGAGTCGAGCTACTTCATTTCACACATAAAATGCTTTCTGACAGGGCTGCCTAATTACCATAGAGACCAGCCCTAAACATGATGCCCTCCTTGTTTCTGACCTTTGTAAACACAAGGCGATTCATTCAGAGCAATGAAGAAACAATTGTTCATTGACATTCTTATTTCAGAGGCAAAAAGGCAGCCCAGCTAGCTACTTTCTAAAGCTGCAGCTTGACGTCCAGACACCACAAATTACTGCAAATGTAGGGACCCCGTATTCAGCCATGATACAGGCTATGAAGACATATCTATTCGTATCAACATCACTACGTATGATTAACTGAGATAAAGGACTGCCAACAAATAGATCAGGTTTTGCAGACTAAGTGCGTGTGCATGAAGGGAGTTATAAAATATGATGTCACTTTACAACCCGGTCCCTGCAGCTAGATGCATTGGTCTCATCACCTATTTACCCACCTCCCACTGTGCTCCTCCCCACCCCTCTACCCATTTTGCTGTTTAAGTTATGTGCAAAAAGCTCTTCCAGCTCCAAAGTACATTTCATAAAGCGATTGAGAGAGTAAGCAAAGGAAGTATTAATGAGCTGATTTCCATAGTAATGGTCTAATTGCCATTCAGGCTGCTGGAAATTTATGAAGCCATCAACAGAAAGGAGAGAGGCAATGGTGGGGGGTAGGAGTGAAGAAACAGAGAATGGCAAGCATGAAAAGAGGGTAGGTCACGGGTGGAGCAGAATGGGAGGAGAAGACAGAGCAGAAAGCAGCACATTGGGGCTGGAATTAATGGAATTGTCCTTCCTCCAACAATACAGCCAGAAACGATGTATGCTTTGCTTTCAAGAGCAAGTTTGACCCCCTCCCCCCTTAACGGCATCTTGCCTTTGGGAGTTCATCCTCTCTGCCAGACCCACGACACTGGCCAGGTTTGTTATGCTTTGCCTGTCTCCTACAATTAAGTAATTACACATCTGCTATTGAAAGATGGCAGAGCTCTGTGGCAACACTGTCTGTCTGGGACGCTATCCCCGCTTCCTTGACAACCCAAGTGAATGCTACGCTGGCAGTAGCACCACTCAGCCTCTTTCTGTTCCACCTCACGCCTGGGATAAAAGGAGGTGACATGGGCCTGCCAGGGAGAAAGAAAGAAGAAAAAAAAAAAAAAGATTTGAGGGTTTTTGGTGCTTCTGACAGCAAAAGGGAGCTGTAAACAAACTTAAGCCAATGAGCGACTGGTCATGAAACCTGCACTAGGAGAGAACAGGAGTCAGTCTCCCTCCACTGGTCTGGTTCTTGCAAGAGGTTTCCTACTATGCTATGGGATTTTGGGCTTTAAATCGTAGCTAAAGAAAGTCACCCCAACACCCTGGCCTGACCTCACCCGAGGTTATTGTGAGTAACATATTCCAGTTAACCTTCCACCCACTTACTTTCAGGTTGCTCAACATCCTGAGGACATGGCGAAGTGATGTTCTGATTCTCTTCATAGGCTGGAGATGCCCGGAGGGTCACAGCTCCTTTTCCGCTGCAGACTTTAGTGGGATCCGTTTCTACAGGAAATGCACATGCGCAGAGAAAACACATCGAAACAGATGATACAAAGCTATTAGGAGCCATCAGAGTTCTATGGAGTAATTTTAGCATGGCTGCCTCCGGGTGAATCAATCTAGTAATGTTTATGCAGATGAAGATTAGCTCTGGATTTAAAGCATTGAGAAATCAAAGCAGTTTCATATTCATGTAACTGATGAATGTAGAAGTAAGTTCTGAGTCAGTGTAACAGAGCTAAGAAAGGAGGAAAAAAGGATGAGTCTTTGAACCAAATTTCACAGGTCCATTTGCTTTATTTGGTCTGCTTTGTGTGGAGATGTTGTGCTAGCAAGGACATTCTACCATTATACCTGTGACTCTTCTATAGGGAGGTCCTAGTGGTATAAAGCAATATGATTTGTGTGCTGAAGCCTTAAAAATGCCTTTTGTGCAGGACTGAAAGAGAAAAAAAAGTCTTATGACCACTAGAGGATAAAATCTTGTAACTATGCTGAATGTGATCTAAAGGCAGGGCACTGCAAGCCACCTCCTTGCCATCTCTCCCCGTTTCCTAGCAGTGTTTCACCTTCTGACATAGGAACCCGAATCCCAAAAACTAGAAGATTTAACATATACCTGTTCAGATCACCCTGTGAGCCAGACACCAGATCATGCCAGCGTCCTTGCTGAGGCCCAATTCAGCACAGCTTCTGTGCAGGCTTACCTTTGCGCATTTCAGTCCATGGATTTGAGTTTTTTCCTCCTGTCATCCTATTAAGTAATAACAAACCAGTACTTCAAGGCTACCTTCCTCTCCTTACTTAAAATCCTTCTGGAGAGTTGTTTCCTCTAAGATACCTATAGAAACAATAAGCCTGAAGAGTCTCTCACTTATCCAAGCTACTTCCACAGGAAGAAACTTCCCTTTCTCATGCACTATTACTGACCCTGCAGCTGCCATCAGACTTCACTTTGACCCACCTAAACAGAGGTGCTAGTCCTACCATGACACAGCACAAGGAGCCTGAAGCGGTACTGAGCATGTGCTGTGTTACACAAATGACAACACGATGATTCTTATTTTTATGGGGTGAGGATCATGCTATCTCTGCATGGGGAGGGATGCAGCTCCTCTCTAGGAACTGTTATTATAATGAAAGTTATGCCTTCAGACTGGACAGAGGCGGCAAAGGCTGCTGCTTATTGCCCAGGCAACAGCCCATGTTTGTGCAGATCAATATTCCCTGGCTGATTTCAGTAAGATAATGCCCCATTAAATCCACACCAGTACAGTGCCTATAGACCATGACAACACCTCAGCTAAGGTTGCAAAACACACAAACCACAGCCAAGGTGGCCACAATATAGAGAAACATCAATAGTGCCAGATGGACAACAGCAGTAAGGGGAAAGACTCAACGAATGTCAAACACCTGGCTCTCATCGAAAGCCCTCTACGCTGAAATCACTGCAGTTCAAGCTTTTACATGGGCTTCCAATGCTTTAGGGATTTCACAAAAAGCATAGCTTCAGATCCACGCTTAGGACTGGAGGAAGGATGGAATAACTAAGGAATCAGAGGATACTTTCCTATAGTTTAGCCTTTAGTTCATTTAGGCAGCATTGAGGCAGCCTCTGTGAGGGGAAAGACTATCCACACAGACATATCAAATGCTGCTTAATCCTTAAATATACCACATTTGCACTCACACCACGCAACTGATCATACCTTAAGGTCACCCACATGCCCGGTGAAATAGAAGTTGACTGCCCTAACTGATTTTCGCATGATCCAGATAGGGTCAGGACTCCTTTTGCCCAGGAGTCCAGTTCTGGCTATCGTTTCCATCCACACGGCCCAACACACAGCCCGAGGAATCTACGGACCCACTTTCAAACCAGAGGACAAAGGTTTAAGCTCTGGGACTGCAGTTTCAAGAGTGCTGTAACTCTGAGGCATGGACACACTGCTGGGAGTCACCAGGCCTGATTTAGACATCCACAGACAGTGCAGGGTAGCTGTTCTCCTACACCTAGATTCCCTTCACAGGCACTGGAGAGAAATGCAAACACTTAGAGTTCACCGCGCCATAAATGTCTCCAACATAGTGGAGGAGAATCAAATTTGGGAATCAAAGCACTTTTTTTATTTTCATACAACATATTAAACCTGTATACCGAATCAAAACAATAAGAATCGGAAAAAATGTTCTGAACTCAACAAAATGAAAATGTTGTGAAAAGGTTTGAAAATGAAATATTGTCAGACTATTTCAATTTGGGAGAGGAAGACAAATACCTAAGATGTTGAATTCCCTCACAAATTAGGTGAAATGATGGAAAACAAAAATCTGAATCTCTCAGTATAGAAATCCAGCAGATAGAAATAAACATGACACTAGTACTGTACTAGTCCAACAGCCCACATGTGTGACAGATTAGGAGAGACAAGCAGTATCAGCTACACTAGTCTGACTGTCCAAATCCAGCAAAGTACAAAAATAATCTTGTACTTTAATGGGAAAACATGTGCTTGGGGAAGGGGTGACAGACAGCCTAACATACTTATTTATCCATATAAAGATTCTGTAAAGTCAGTGTATATACAGAAAAACAAAACCATTCGATCAATGTTGAACAATGCTTGAACGTGTAAAATACCATCTCCGACATCCATTTACTTTCATAAAGACTAAAGATATGCAGGAAACATTCTTTGGTTCATCAGGAGTTTGGTTCAAAATGAGGCTGTAACAACGATATTATTCATAATGAAGCATTAGTAGAAGAGCTTACAATGATCCCAGATTCAAGTAGACACAATTATGTCTGCAGAGGAGCAGCATAATTGAGAACAGTGTATTGTGCCATCAAGAGCTAATTTTATTACCTACTGATGAAATCTACAGTTCTGGAAACAGTGAGAAGAGGATGAAGCTGAAAACTAGCCAAAGCGCGTGGGTGAAGTGGGGGGGGGGGGGGAGGAGAAGCAAGAGAATGATGGCCAACTAATGCATGGCAGGGGGAGGAAGGAAGAAGATACCTGTAGGCAGCACTAGGTGAGGAGAACTTTTCACTTTCTTCACAGGGATTATTTTAACGGCAGAAATAGAGCGTGTACATAAAGGGACGTCAACAGCTGCAAACACAAAAGTGTAAATGGCACATCCAAAAAGGGAAGAACAGAGTTTGGGAAGCATGCCACAAAATTTTCTAATGTACTTGGAGACACAATAGCAGGAAATTTCAAATACAAAAGCAGTCCAGAGAGCAGTGATGCAACCGTTAAAAATATCCCTTCGTTTACCCTAATTCAGGACATGTCTGTTTTATGCAGCATACAGAACTGCTTACTGAATTGACTAACTGCTGACTGCCACTATGCTGCAGGCAAAAAGAATCTGGAAGCATTAGTTTTTAGAAGCCATCAAAAAATTTTAGTGTAATCATTTAGCTGAGATACACTACATGCAAAAATAAAAATGGTAACATTAATATGGCTCAGTTAAAACAAAGTGAAAAAACAAGGATTGAAAGGTTGAGAGAGGAACATTAAACTAGCCACATTACGTGAATTCTGGATTTTATGGCACATATTCTACAAGTTCAGCAACAGAAGGAAGTGAAATGTGAAATAATCTTGAAAATAGTCCCACGCCAAAGGGTAGCACCAAAATATCAATTTCAGAAAAAATCCATCCATCTAAACCATAAATTGAAGAGATTTCTACTGGACTCCATCAGCTAGCACACTAATTATACTAGATGTAGTAACATAGGGGAAAACCATACATAGCACTGCAAAAAATTCTAGCAATTGTTACAAAACTGTCCAAAACAGCTGGTACTTTCTCTCTCTGACTCTGTATTGCAGCTAATGTGGAACTCAAAAAAAAAAAAAAGGGGGGGAAAAAGGGGGGGGGAGGGTGGGTGGTGGTAAAAAAGGCAAAGGCAAAACTACTCAGAGGTGAAGCTCAACAGGATCTGCAAAGATAAACATCTTGTAAATCATGGCTCCACCAGTATAACTTGAGTTGTGCTCTTGATTTCTGCAGAGTCAGGATTTTCTCCTTTAAAACCTATTACCTTTCTGCACACATTAACTGGAAAATGCTAGATGCCTCCTCACATTCCATGCCATCTCTCTCAGGCCTGCAAAATCAGGAGTAAGAGGAACTACATTTCTAATACTTTGCACACCAGTACTGAGCACTGGGCCACCTCGAGGGAGGCACTGACATCAGGGTGGTCTGTACGCCCCCTCTTGTGGCAGATCTTTCTGGTCCCTGGCAAAACTGGAAAGCACAGACTTCACCAACGTAGAAAATGGCTCTCAAGCAAAAGGATGGGGGAAGAGCTTGATAGAATTTAAAACAATCCCATCAAACTAAAAACTAACGATTTTATGAGGTTTGAAAAAATTCTTTTTTTATAAAAGAGGAACCCAAATCAAACCCTGTTCTCCACGCTTCTCCCTCAGCACTGGAGACCCTGCGAATACAATAAATCCCAAACCCAAACAGCCTGTGGTTTAGGAAACAACCCTAATTCTGTTCTGCTCTGTAACTGCCTGAATTCATCCATCCACAATGCAGTCAAAATCTAACCACTATAAAAAGGCATCAAAGGAAAAGAAATTAAACCAGTAGAAAACCAACCCATACAACCACATACTTTCACCCTGCCAAAACACACACCATCACTATACAATATTGAACGCTATAAAGCACACTGCAAACCTGCTGATGTTAACACGAAGACTGGTTTGTTTAGATAAGTTTGGGTTTTAAATCGTTGCTGCTAATGACAGATTTTTTATTACTTAAATGGTTAGTTCCTGCCCTTTAATCCTGGGCTCAAACCTTCACCTCCCACTGAAGTTAACAGGATTCACACATAGGCACCCACAAACCCATGCTGTCTGAACACACTAAGATACTGATTCGCAGGTGCTCACAAGTACCACAAGTAGTGCACAGCTTTCATCAAAACAGCACTAAAAATATACAAAGAGGCAAATCCAGCCTGCCACCTTTAAGAGAGAAAGAACACTTGTTCAGCTAAGAAATGCTGCTGCTGCTGGCATGGTGCAGCACAAGGCTTTGCTTGTATCAGTCGCCAAGCAAACTAAATTTGGAAACCTCTGCTGTAATGAATGTCTGGGGAAATCAACCACATCACGCAGCTGACATGCAGGGGGAGCTGCAGAGATGTCTCTGAAGCTCTTAACCCACCTTTTTCTTGTCCATTGCTGCTCAGCCCATTGACGACAGTTTTTGCAACATCAATTTCTTTGCGTTCTGTAAGATAAATGAAGAAGCAGATTACTTCTGGGTTAAAATCTCGGCAACTGAATTTAACCTCTGACTATGAGGAGATGCCATGGGTCAGCACTATTTGATTCAGGAACTAGGAAGTATTCCTACTATCTCAGTAGACATTGCTTGGAGGTTGTGAGGTCTCCATCTGTGGAGATGCTCAAAACCCAACTGGACGCAGTCCTGGGCAACAGGCTGTGGCTGACCCTACAGGGGTGTCTCCCTTGGATGACACCCCTGTTTCTCCTTTCCCTTTGCCTACCTGGATCACAGCCTCTTTTAAACAGGGACTGTCTCTGTATGTGCATACGGCATCCAGCTCAGTGATGAGATTTTCAAGAGAGATTTTTCAAGTCTGCAACATCCTCAGCTGACATGAATAAATCTGGCTCTTGTGAATTCAGAGAAACACAGAAGACAGTGCTAGAAAGGACTTCCAAGGGTCATCTAAAGCCATGTTCCTGACCCATGGCAGAAACAAATCTACCTCTGTCACTGCTGACAAATGTTTGCCTAACGAGTTCTTAAAAACTTCCAGCATCACCCTAAAGCAACCTGTTCCAGTGCTTCACAACGTGGAAGCTTATCAATGCTTAAGCCAAATTCCCAGCTCATGTTTGTCAGAGCCTGATTAATCTCCTAGCTTTCCTCTGGACTCTCTCCAAATGGTTCACATTTTTCTCAAAATGTGGTGCTAAAAACTGGACACGATACTCCAGCTGAGAATTGATAAGGTGCTAAAATCAAGTGGGAATATTATTCCACAGGTCCTACATATGGCACTTCAGTATGGAGTCTGCTTTGATTTTCACTCTGATTTAGCCTGCTACCCAGACAAGCCCAGAAGTTTTCCTCTTCCCAACCAGCCCTCATTTCCCGGTCCCTCATTTTTCTTTGAACAGCTGATTTTTCCTATCCAGATGTCAAACTTTGCATTCACCCCTACTAAAACATATCAAATTCTTTCAGATAATTTTTTCAGGTAATTAATAATTTTGAATTCTTGTATTCCAAAGTGAAAGAAGCTTCAAGCTCCAGGTCAAGATGTTTCTAGTCATTTTTTGAGCATTATGGGCCAAATTGAAACAACAAAAGCGAAGCCAGGACATTTTACTACGAAGCCATTCCGCTGCCTTAATAGTCAGATTCCCTGAACTTTCAAGGGCTTTGACTCTTTTCTGGGAGGCAGAAGAAGAGTCAAAAAAAAGAAAGAGTAATTGCATCAGAGACAGACAGGAATATTTCTAGTAATAAAAAGGAACGCCAATGAGGGCAGGCGGAAAACAACACAGACTTACCAGAGCTCATTGTGGTGGAGGGACTTGCCTTTTTCACTTCTGGATTTTGTTTATCTCTGTTTAAAGTGAAAGGCAGAATGGTTACGTGATGTTTCATGTCTGCCCAGACAGCACTGGACATGATGCTGAACATTCATCACAAAAGTCAAGGTAATAGTTACAGTTTCTTCAAAAAATTTAGTTTCAAAACCCAAATGGATTTATGTCAACCACCAGTTATATTTTTTGCTGATGATTAGCAGAAATTAAGAAGCATTTCCACCCAATATAGGTACTACTTTCAGACTTTAAGACTAATCCTCAACATTAAATTGTAAGATACTGATTAAAGCCTAAGAGTCTATATATGGCAAAGTGCAAATCTGGCTAGCTTCTAATATATAAAATGTGCATCACCTTTAAGAAAAAAATAAAAAAATCTCACTGAGACTAAAAGCTTTAAGCTAAAACCCTCAACGTAGACCATTGCCAGGTTTCAAGGTGATCTGTTGCTCAGATCAAAGTCAGTCTCTCTTTTGAAAGATGTTACAATAAAGAAGAGATATATTTGTCAAAATGCATATTAACTTCTGCACCAATAATTTCCAGTCCTGCAGTGCCACTGATATTTTCAGGATCAGACTCCAGTAAGTGAAACTTTAAAATTAGAAGCTTTAATCCTCCCGGGACCAAAGGCAATGAAGTTACCAACCCAAGAGAAAAACTACCAGATGGGGACCAGAGGAGAAAAAAGTCCTTTTTCATGGTCATGACAGTCTACAAAGGACAACTGCGGGCCCTATTCATACCCAGTGCCCACTCCTGTGGGGAGCTGATACCTGCAGCAAACGAACAGGTTTCAATGTCACACCACAGGTGTTGGTCTGAGTAGTCAAAGAGCGGCATTTCTACAAAACAAGTGTTTGCCAAGATTTCTCAACTCTCTAAAGGTCCTAGGTTGAATTACAAACCCTTCAATTTTGTGTTCCAGTCTTCCCCCCCGCCCCGCAAAAGTTAGTGCTAAAGAAAGTGAGATCAAGTGTAACTCCAGCCAATTAATGGCTTCCATGACACGAACAGAAACAGGTATCTGAAGCTGCGAAATAATGCATAAACAAAGACCCTCATCTGTGAAGTGTGGGGGGGAAATTGCTCAGAGAAACAAGAAACTAAACAAGAGAGCTGGAGATACTTGTTTTCCTGTTGCATGAACTGGAGGCAGCGCTGGGACATTGCAAGAGGTGGAAATTGCCTTCAGGGAATTGAATTTGCTCTCTTGCCTCAAGTGTCCCTATTCTTAACTAGCATTTGTTTCATACTAGCCAGAATATAATGAGCATGTTCAACAGATACTCGAAAGAAAAGAAAATTCAACAAGCAAATATAGTAACAGATCAGTCTGTAAAACCAGCCAATATCTGGGCTCTCCAGCATGCCACCCTAGCAACAGCTGCCAACACTTAATTATTTAAATATTTCCTTCATTAAAATAGCCACATAAGATATACACCATGGATTGGTGAAGGCTCAGCAGGATGCAGCCTAACTCCAAGCTGATCACAGTAAAACACAGTGTGAAGTGGAGGGTGCAGTCTAAAACCAGTCAACGACAAAAGCTGAGCCCAACTTAAAGGTCTGCTGCCCAGCTTTGCCTGCCCATACGGTATCTGCTTTTTGTTTCTACCACTTCACATTAGCAGAGAGTACCCTGAAATAGTAACGCTTGACACAGCCTGAAAATTTAGACAAATGTACTTAATAATAATGGTCTTTCTGATCTCCGTACATTTCAGTTATGGAAAGATGCCTTAGTTCAAGCAAAGCAGAAAGAAACAGGCTAAAATGATAGGCTATCCAGGAGGTTTGTAGCAATATCATGCTCTTCTGCGTATGGAAAACTGTTACGAATTAAACTCACTGGATAAATACAAGTCCCTCCATAGGGCAGGGATAAAACTACAAGAAGGGGAAATATTGCAGTAAGTCTCAACTCAGCTTTAGGATTAAAGCCATTCTGAAGCTGAGGAGGTTGCTGGCACCCAGAAGTTTTGACTCAGCACTGGCCCTCTCCATGGGCTTCATGCAAGTCAACAGAAAGTTTCTTCCACTCCAAACATCCCCAAAAGGCTGCGTGCTTTCCTCTGGCATACAAGATAAAAAAAGGGGGGGGGGGGGGGGGGGAGAATCTAGAGTATTACCTTTTCAGGAGAGGAAAGAGGAAATACTAGCTCACATGCCTGGGCAAAGGCAGGGTCCACTGATGCTGCAATCCCAGAGCAACACAGGTCCCCTTCCTCAATGGCAGTAGCCGAGCAATTAAACTTGTGACCCCATGCTTTATACTTTTTAAACTGTCTCATCTCTGTTTAGAAACAGTTGACATCACAACTACCATAAAAATCTGATTTCAGTGATATCTTTTTGACTCAAGAGTCTTGGCTTTGCTTACAGTGTGAAGCACTGGCCTTCATTGCATTAAGAAAAGCATTAAGGAAAGAATTCACACCAAAGAAAGCACAATTATTTGGCCTTAAAAGAACAAATTACTTTTCACAAGAAGTGATTTGAGGTTAAAAATAAAGTGATAATTAAAGAAGTTTGCTAAAATTAAATGGAGGAGGTGTACAAACTCATTAGAACTAGATCTAGAAAAATGACTTTTCCACATATCGCCACACTTACTAGCAATTATGGAATTAAATTAAAATAACAAGCATTCAGTGTTCACTTACTGTGAAACTAATCAGCATTATTCAATCACTCAAACAAACACATACTTAATGCAGGTTCCCATACACAGAATGGATTCAGTGTGCTCGGGGTGAGCGTAACCAATCCTGAGCGCCTTGGCTGGTGTAACTCCAGAAACTCCATTTAAAAGTTGATTTTGATCAGTTGAGGATCTGTGTACAGATTTGCTGCATGTGGGTAGAAATAACTGCTGTTTAGACTGAGGAAATTATGGTGCACATTCGCAGTTGAGAACATGCTTCAGTGCCTTTTTGCATCAGGTCTACAGAGTTATTCTACCTGTCTCCCATATGCTTAACCCAAACCACATACTGAAGTCCTATTAGGTCTACCGTAGCCCTAAGGCTGCTCTTGGGACCAGATACACGGTCCAGCCAGAGAGCACATCTGGCTCCACAGCCCCAGTATAGCAAAGTGTTGCCCTCTGTAACACTTGGGAAGGTACATGCTGTAAGTCAGTGTACCGTGAGTGTTTGGATGGTACATCCTTAGACAAAGCAATCCCTGCCAGGTTGGCCAGACAGGCTGTCCGTGAGCTGTGGGAGCAGATGGATCTGGAAACGTTTGCTGCTCCCAGTTCCTCTCGAGAACTTCCTGTAGACACACGTGCAAGTACGCACAGCAGCACTTCAGAAGAGAGCCTTTCAAAGGGAACTGAAAACGAGATCCCTCATGTCAATATTAAAAACAGAGAAACTGGTACTGCCAGATCAGGCAAAACAAAACAAATTAAAGAAAAAAAATAGGCCAAAACTCCCCAGCGTCTCCCTCCAGCTCCCTGCTCTAACCAGTGTCTCCTTGCCAGACTGGAATTCATGCCTTTCCTGAAATGTGACAGACATAGCAACAAAGGCTTCAAAGCTGCAGACATTCAAAACACAATGAAAGGTAATTAATTCCTCAGGGCATAAGCCAGCAGCTGTAATCCTGAACATGTCAATGTCCCTGCGTAACATCCACCAACCCCTTGCCAGTTTGGTCATACCTCTAGACGGAGGTTTAACGCTTCCTTCCTCCCTTTCACCCCCAGCACATTTCTTCCAAGGCTGCAGCTCCTTCCCTACTTGGTGTGGAAAAGAGAGCAGTGCATTTAGAAGCCTATTTAGGAGGAATGCAGATAAGTGGCAACTACTTCTGCACAGCACGTCTCTGGATTATCTCACATGCTATAAACATTCAAGTACTCCCCCTACAATGGCAGGGGGTAACAAACAGCTCATTAATAGTTCCGAGTAAGGACACACGCTCTTAAATCACTGGTATCTCAGCTAAGAGTCACAGGCAGTGGTTATTTCTGGTGGTCTAATATGTGTGTGTGGAAAAGTAATTTCCTCTTGTTTCTTCTCTTGTTATTATTGACAGCTCTGATGACTCGCACAGGATTTTAGAACAGTTGCTAAACGTGAGATGAGCATTCAGAACTTATTGGGCAGGTCCCTTATGTTCCTGAGATTTGGACTCCTGCTTTATCTTCTCAGTTCTGAGTTTTTTACATTTTCAAAGTTTTCTCTCCATATACAAGAGCTTTAAGTGTTTTGTGGCTGCACTTAAATGAAAAATCAAATTCTTATTTATATTAGTATAATCTAGAGGTTGAGGCTTTTAGAAAAACGGTAAGCTTTCAGACTTAAGGGATGATCAGCAATCACAAAACTTACTTTTCACCTGGTCAGGTCTCACACATCACTGACAGCACTCATTTGTTTAGCCTCTGACTCAGACCCTTTCTCACATTGCCACCAGTGTCCCTGACCCAGATGCTCTGCTCAACCAGCTATGCCAGCAATGTGGGGTCCCAAATCTGGAAAGTGGGAAAAGGGCTGCACTGCAGCCAGTGCCTCCTGGAGGCACCAGGAGGTTCCTCTGCTTAAAGGAACTTGCTGGAAAGCACATCTCCTCCGTACTTTTCACTTTGTATCACATAAAATGTGGCAAGAAAAAATAACTAGAATACAGGAGGCAGCTCCAAGTTAACCGAGGCAATCAGCTCTCTCTCCAAGTATCATTATTCTCTTATCCTGAAATACGGAGAGAAATATGTTGCCTGTCATTTTTATTTTAAGGGTTAAAGAACATCCTGTCATTCCTTCAGAAGACATTATGCTCCTAAGAATAAATGTCATGAAAAGACTATGAATAAGCAAGCAGTGCACGTAGAAGAATCATATCAATTCTGTACAGGACAACAGCCTCCCCACGCTCTTCAGCAAGTGTTAAGACTGCAGAGAGGGAGCAGTGAAAGCTCACTAAATGAAACAAATGGCAGCACAGAACATGAGCTTGGATAAGATCTTATAAATAATTGAACTTACAGCTGTTAGAATAAATAAACATAGCGCATTTCATATGCAGTATCGCTGCTTTTTTTTTTTTTTTTTTAATATGGTGCATGTTTGTTTCCTTCCTAACGGGCAAAATTAAGTTATCGGGGGCATATGTGCCAGTTTTTGTGCAATTGTTTAATTGTGTTGTTAAACCACAACAAAGAGGAATGTGCCACTGAATAATAAAACTCAAATAGGAAATGTAAACTAGGACGTGTGGCTTTAAGAACTCGGAGATGCTTTTGAACTAAGTCATCTTACACATTGGTTTTCTATAGTGTAGGGTGCTTTGGGTTGGCCTCTGTTTGCTCGCTGCTTTTTTTTTTTTTTTTTAAATATGGTGCATGTTTGTTTCCTTCCTAACGGGCAAAATTAAGTTATCGGGGGCATATGTGCCAGTTTTTGTGCAATTGTTTAATTGTGTTGTTAAACCACAACAAAGAGGAATGTGCCACTGAATAATAAAACTCAAATAGGAAATGTAAACTAGGACGTGTGGCTTTAAGAACTCGGAGATGCTTTTGAACTAAGTCATCTTACAGTCATCAACTTCAGAGTAAACAAAGTTTAGCTGCAACCTGAGTTAACTCAGTTCAAGGTCACCATTTTTGGAGCAGGAGGCAGAAAAGGATCTCCTGGGTCATCAGGCCTACTCCCATGCTATTGCAGGCAACTGTGTCATACAATCCTGTGCAAGAACATTTCATGTTCCAGCTTAAAACTGGTAAAGTTTCCTGCCTCCACTGCTCCTCCTGGAAGCCTGCTCCAGAATCATTCTTCTTATGGCTTGAATGCTGTCTCTGATTTGCAACCTAAATTTAATTCATGAACAGCTACAGCTAAATTGTTTTGCACCAACAATTTTTCTGTTTAAGCAGCTCTTCCTCCTTGCGCTCACCCCCATCCACACATTTTTAGAAAGCGGTTGTACCTCTGGGTCTTCATTTTGCAAGCCTGTAAACAAGTATTTCCAAAGCAATTGGTCTGCATGTTGTCACCCATCTCGTTAAAATCTGGCAAATAGCGGAAGATTTTAAAAGGTTGGCAGTCCAAAGTCTAAACTCTGCTTAATGTCACAGAACCAGAGAGCAAAGCCTACAGCTGACATGCCCAACAGCTGAAAAGCAAGGTTTAAAAGGTAAATCAGCTTTTTTGGTCCTTTCTAATTCTGGCCTGTCTACTAAAAACAATTCTATGGTCAGTGCTAGTTCAGATAGTGATTTGATGTCTCCAGGGACCTGCCTGCAAAGAAATAGACTGGAATAATTTCACATCAGCCACTGAACCTTCATTAAGTGACAATGACGTATACCTGCAGGGTTGTGGGGCTGAAAGGTGGCTCCTGCTTGAGCCATCAACCTCCTGCTCTGCTACAGACTCAGGGCTTGGAAAACAGCCGTGCAGGGGGTTGTCTGGCACAGAGCAGACAGAAGAGTAACTTGACATGTAGTGCATCACCGTTTCCCTCTGGATAAGTTAACTGCCCTTATCAGTAGCCTTACAGTCAAAAACATTTCTTCTCATGACAATAGATTTTAAATACACTGTAACTGGGCTTTGACTTCCTTCCAGTCTGTCATGACTGCCTTCTGGTTTTTTGTATTTGATGACTGAGATCATGGTGACAGTAGTTGTGCCCCATGTATCATTCACGTCTGCTAAAGAAACAAATGCCTTTGTGCCACACCCATATGCCCAAGCAGCTCACATGTACATTTTAAAACTTCTGAAAGAAAAATAAAACTTCTAGAATATTTTAAATAAAATCTTATATTCGTCTTAGCAGGAGACACAAGGCACAGCGTTTGAGAGCAGCAGAAGCTGAGATTTCTGCTCAGATTTATCTGTGATATGTATGCTAACACCTCATAGATGGAAGCGCTTTACAAACAAGCTGATGTACATCCTATACAAGGGAACTCACTGGACACAGCTCTCAGGCTGCCAGCTCCAGAGGGAAAGCTGTACATGATTTAACAGCATACTGCAACCTGGGACCGTTCAGGACACTTAACTGAGACTCATACAGGAATTTGGGCAGGGAGCTTGTAACTACCGAAATTGGGATTTATTTACAGTTAAGGGGTAATTAATTCAATGACACCAGATTTACCTTTTTGCAAAAGGGGAATCTTTCAGACAATCTGCAATGGCTGCACCTCGCCAAGAGGATGCTAGTTTTATACTTCAGCTGGAAGAAATAGAAGATTCATTGAGTTCAAGCTGTTGTGGGACTACTTGTAAGAGCTGTGCAGCTGGGGTGCTCTGCGTACTTCACTTAACTCTCTGTATGTATCACTTACACCTCTGATATGAGGCCACTTGTGCCTCTGCAGAACAATTGCTGTAAATAAACAGACCCAATTCCAGAAGTCCTAATTATGTATAACAATGGATCCATTCAGCTGACCGCTGGATTGAGGGACACAAACACTACATTGCATTTACTACAGTGAACGGCTTTCTATAAATATGATCAATTAGATCATCTAAACAACATCCAGCAGCTTCTCTTGCATGATTTTGTATAACAAAGACTACAAAGACTGTCTTCACCTCTGTCACACACTCCCAAACAGTGAAGTAGTAAATAAGAGGAAGTCGCATTAAGTAGAAATACTAATTAGAGATTGACTAGTATCACAAAGTTCAAATTCAGATTACAAACATTTCACAAAAATGAGGGTAGAGAGAAGATTCTGATGCACCTCTGACATATAAACCAGATACTTTAATGCTACAGACCACCTTATACCATCCCAGACACATCCCGAGATTCCTAGTTGCGTAAGGCAGAAGAATTGCACAGGCATTAATGAGTGCTCACTGTGGCAACCACACCAAACATTAATTTTTAGTTATGACCTCTGCTAGCACTAGCTGTTTTGAAGCTCTGCACAAACACCTACTAAGCAACATCTAACACTTTTCAAGATATACAGGTGATATTCCTACTTTACGCAGAGATGGAAGATTCAGGCCTCTATTCCACGCAACATCTGAAATCAGCTGAGCTGGCACAGTGTAACAAGGTGCATGTATCAGTCTTACAGGTTGCTTTTTATATTTTCAGAATAAGCAAAATGAGTTTGAGAGTTGGTCTCATTTACACACAACTGCAATGACCTCCAGGGAACCACACAAAGCTAAGTCGAGCCAACACATATGGGGAGCCAGGCATACAACACTTCCAACACACCTTTGACAAGCCTGGGGGTGCAAGTTGAAATTAGACAGGGTCATTCTCCTTAGCCTTTGCCAACCTGGAAGCATTGCTACACTAGAAAAATTGCCAGGGAACTGATTCATCCACCTGAATATCAGGCACAAAAAGGTCCCAGCAAAACTCAGAAGGCTGGTCACTGTCACGCATCCAAGGCTAGACAGCAAAACTGTGCCTGCCAGGGAATTCAGGCTGGAGTGCTGGCTTGCTAGCCTTGTTGGACTGTGCTGCCACTAAAGTCACCTACACACTGGAATGAAGAACAGAGTGACCGCTCCTCTACTCGGTATCGAAAATGCTCTGAGAAAACCAAACTGCTGGGTTAAGCAGCAGTCTGACATTCAAAGTGTCTCCAGAAATAGCAGAAAGTCACATTCCAGAAGCCAGTCCTCATTTCAATTCCCTCTGATTCCTCCAGCCTCAGGTGACCAAATTCACATGTTACTGAGAACTCCACACCCATTCTCATCACTTTAATTTTAGCAACAGCCTGAGAATCAGCATTCAGGAATTGTTTTCAATCCCTCCTTCCCATAAAAACAGTCAGGAGAAAGATCCAGTCATTAGGGTAAGGAGGCAAGGACCTGCCCATCTTCCTTACTGAGAACACAAACCCGTGTAATGACTACCTTGGTATCTCCTCTCTTTTCAAGCAGCAACTAGAAATACACATCCAAATGAAAGAAGCAATCTGAAAAATCAGCGTGTACTGCCCCAACAGACCTACCCACTCAGTGCACATTAGCATAAGCCACTGCCATGTAAAGTCCTGGGAGTTCAGCTCACAGCAGCTCTAGGAGGTCTAGCTTTGACTAACTGTGACTAAAAGACATACTGGTGTCCTTACCTTGATTCAGGCTTTTCAGTTAATGGTGCCATTTTCTTAGTCCCTTGATTTCACTCCATAAGAGGCACGAAAGAGTTAAGGAAACCTTTCACTGTGTTGCCCAGTCACTTGGCTGCTGAGGTGTAACAAGAAATTTGTGGAGGCATCTCTCTCTGGCACCCTTAAATACTTTGCTCCTCCTACTGCTGTGCTTTAATTAGACAGCTGGTTCTTAGTCACCCCATCCTGTCACTAGGCTTGCTCACCATCAGCCACCCTCACCCAGCCTGCCTGTCACTCCCCTGCCACTGTCATCACGAAAGACACTGACTCTTCCTGCAGCTCTGGAGCTGGGGAAAGGAAAGAGAGAAAGTTTGGAGGTGACACTCCATGGTAGCACGGGTATGGGATGCATTTCAGAAGGGAAGTGACAGGCAGACCTTGAAGAAATATTGAAGTACAGGGAAAGTACTTGAAAAAGCACTCTTTCTTTGTTTTGTTTTGTTTTTTAAACCAGGCAGCATCTGCTTGTCAAGGAAGGAATATTTTCATTAGCACTGGACGTGGCAGATCTTATTTCAATGGCTAGGAGCTGAAGGGGCAGCTAAAGTTTCTGCACTTGGCAGCTGAGATTTGTAGCATAAATACCTGACACGACACAAAGTCAAACTAACTGCTTGCATGGCTATTACATATTATATGCCCACGCCATGGGCATCATAACAGGCGTCAAGGGAGCTTTTAAGCCACAAGCTGTACTAGGGTGTCCCTAGAGTGGAGCGTCCCCACTACAGTGCAGCTTGGCTCCCCTTTAGACAATCCAAGACCCGCGCTGGAGTGGAGGTGGTGCCAGCTTTTAGGAGGGTGAGGGTATACTCACAAATCCCCAGGTCTGGGCAGCCTGTTGGTAAGGAAGGTGACTAGCAGCACAGGATCACCCTTCCTTCCACGGTGAATGTCTACAGAACAAACGACTGGGGCCAAGACTTCCTGAAATCAGACCTTGAAGGTTGGTTCATGCAAGACCAAGGGGTAGCTTAATAGTGGAAATAATTTGAAGGAGACCCTCAAGGCTCTTGATACTGTCCTTTGTCACCAGACCACAGCAACTAGTGCACCAAGCACTGCTGGCTTTCGTGACTGACACTCCAGAGTCTCTCTGTCTGCAGCCTGTCTCTGGATTTTGATTCCTCAAATATGCATGTACAGGCATTGATCTGCTGCCAAACTCACAGATTGAAAAAACGTACTGAAAATTATTGCAAGGCAAGCATCTCAGCATTCAAACAAGACCTAGAAAGCAACACAGATGGCAAGAGTTGCTGATTGCAGAAGGGCGTAGAGCAAAGGTTACTGTGTGGGTCAATGCTTACTCTAACTTCAGATTCTTTCAGTAAAATGTTAGTGAAGGACACAGAACAAAGGTCTCCAAATACCTACGCACGTAAACCCATACTGATGCACTGTGAAAATGCTGACTGAGGTTCTGTCAGCAACACAAGCTCTCCTTTTTCCTCCCCAATACACCTTTTAGCATCCCAATACTTACCTCCCACCAAATGAAGCATTTAATTGTTAGCCAATACAGGCACAATTCTGACTTGGTATATTGGCTAAGGGGCCAGAAGAGGTTGGAAAATGCTGCTCTATCTTACTTCACTTAAGACCAACCCCATACCTCAGTGTGAACGTGCCAGTGGTAGTTCTAATTACAGTAAACAAAGGGCCCCCAAGCCCGTATTTACTACCACATCCCAAAAGACTAATGATGGGGAGCTTGTACCTGGGGTTTTCGTTTCATTTACCCCAGCAGATATCACAGTCTATTTCCAAAATTCAGGTCTGGATCTAGGTTTAGACTCCAGCCCCTTTAAAAGTCAGGTGTATTTGGTTTGGATGGAGGAGGAAGAGGGTTCTTTCAGACATATCAACAGTCAGAATAAAGGATGATGGAAAACAGTATGTTTAGAATGGTCAGACCCTACTGTCCTCTATGCAAAAAACCCCCCAAAAAACTAAAAAAAACATGTTGTTCTCAAAAGCAAAGCAGGAAAGCCAACAAAAAAGCCCACAACATTGTCCAAAGTAAGCTGTGCAGCCATTACCAGCTCCAATATCTTGAAACATACTTGTTTATCCAACAGTACACAACAGGAGACCTCCCTCACCACCCAAAGATAACCTCCTTGATCTCCTTCAAGTCTGTTGTGGAGCCTGGACCACATGAGAGTGTGTCAGTTGGAAGCCCTGCTTGCTGCGTAGCAGGGGTTTATAAACAAGCCTCTGATAGTTTGTCTTCTGGTAATAAAAATGACCGTGATTAAAATGTTGAAAGAGTAGAAACCATACTGTAAAAATAACAGCTAGTGAACAAAAGAATGGCACCTAGGGAGAGGCAAAGTAGGGAAGGATCCAGGGGCTGGCTCAGGTCCAAACTTAGATAGGAAAGTTCAGCTCAAGGATTGGGTCTCAAATACTTCTGGTCTTTGCAGGAACCAGCTTAGACAACCTTCAAACAGCTTGGCGAGGAAGGAGGAGTTTCTGCTACAGACAACCACTTGGATGGAAAACTGAATTTTCACAGAATTTGCTATTCCACTTGGGTGGAGAACTGGGAAGCAAGCTTTGCATGGCTGCACGGCCACATAGCTTGGTTGTTTCCAAAGTCAACCTTGAGTGCAGGATAAAAAGCTTTATGAAGCGTTGCTGTTTTGCAATCAACCCACAGTAATAGTGTACTATCCATTGCAATTTTCCTGGAACCTAGTGCTGCACAATCACTGCTGTATTTTTCCCCCATAATAGCCATGTCTTTGCGAAAGACATCACCGTAACAGCTGAAGGAAATAGCAAAAGGGACAAAACAATTTACACAACAAAGGAAGTCTTCAGCATAACAGGGGCAGATGCCAGTTCTAGGATGTTCTGGACCACTGCTCTAGTAGCCACTGGACAAGCCTACCCTCATCATGTCTGTTTTGCTACCAAAGTCATAAACAAATCCTTTCACTGGAGGGAGTGGGTTATTCCAGTTATAAGCTACCCTGGAAAGTCTGCTGCACAAACCATACAGGTTTTGTGTTTTGATAAATGTCACACAGCCGTACTAGTTCTTTTATACCACCCCAATATGCCACAGGGCTGGGCTTTCCAGCCACCAGAAGAGGTCAAAGAGGTGCTGTGACATGCAGTTTAGAAAAGGAGGTACTTCTGATAGATCCAGGAGATGCTATGCAAAAGTGATTGAGCTTACGTGGTTCTGCAGATGGAGGACAAAGGCAAGCAAACTTACACCATGCTCGTGCTTTTAGTTCACTTCCCTCTGAGTTCTGGGGTTTGAACTGCAAGACAAAACTCAGCCAAAATAACACACTGCTGCTAGAGTTCCACCCAGTACTGTGAATGAGCACAGACTCATTCACCCAGCATCCTTGTCCTGCTGGGCTGGAGCTTCTGCTTTGTTACAAGAAGAGCCACCCAGGTTCTGGTTAGGATAGTTTTACAGTACCCTCCCTGTTACCAGAGACGAGCCCTAGCTTGCCCCAAAGCCTCCCAACACCCAGATCCCCTTGGATGCCTCAGACCCGAGCCTGAACTCTGCAGCTCAGCCCTCCCCAGCTGAAAGCTACGGGAACCAATGTCACCACAGAAAGCACATAACCTGCTAAGAGTACAGAGAGAACAGCACGGGCTACAAGACAAACTGCTAGAAAATTTTTTTCAAACAGCTGAGAAAAGCAAATGCATAATTTGGCTTCCTTGCTGAAGACTGAAGAACTGTCCTAGTATCCCTTCTAGCTGTTGGAGATAAGGGATATACTGTAGGCTGGTGATCCCTCATTTAAAACAGAAAAAAATACTAGCTGGTAGGATCACAGTTTACCAGGATTTGGGATCTACAGCATCTTAAGGGAGACTTCTGTGGGAGGCATGGCTCCCGCTGCTGTCTTCTACTGACTGGAGAACTCAGCAGGAGCTGGAAAGCACTGCCTCACACCAACACAAGCTGGGAGCGATCAGCTGTTTAGCAGTCACCTGAGTAGCAGTTTCTCCCAGCTCCCACTGACCTATTTAAACTCTGATGCATAAAAGAAAGCACAACCTCGCCCATCTACCTTGAACAGCTGCTGACCCTGGTCCAAGCAATTTTATGGAATTCAGGACCTGCTAAATACAACACTGCAGGGAAAAAACTTAGGGCTCAACTATGCTTACCCAAGTCCTAAGGAAATTAGTGGCAGTTACAGCATGCAATCAACAAAACATGCATCCTCACCTGCACGTAAGCATCTCCAGCCCTTTGTACCCTGTACCGCCACTTACACTCAGGCAAAATGGAAGCAAAACTTGCGTGCTGTGGTGTATGTGCCCGCATGGGACACAAGGATTAGGCTCAGCGATCACTGGATTGTGTGTGGCGGGAGAACCCAGGCTCTGTTCCTCTACTACAGAAGACCATCAATGGCATGTCATATAACAAGTTTAGTTTAGGCCAGAGCCATCCTTACTGATCCAACCAGCACCCCATTCAATGAAAGGCACCGCTGGCTGTGAAAGTAACAGAATACAGCCCCATCAATATTAAAAGCTTTTGTAATGGCACTAGCTGTTTACCAGTGCTCTTAACCTTTGCGCTGTAGAGCTTAAATTAACCTTAAGGTACTGTCAGGACAAAATCATCTCCTATACGACACACAAGGAAGCTGATTTTTGTAAAATTCTCTCATTTTTCTTCAGACTCAAAATACTCTGATATTTAGCATAATCTCTGGGCCAGCACCTGAGCTTACTGCCTCTTCCAATGACAGTGATTTGGTAGGTTGCAAGGGTAAAAAAGGAGAGATAGGAGTGCAGTAAAGAAGGGAACTAGCAGAACTAGCAGAAGCAGCAAAGAAAACGCAGACTGTGCTCTCTCTCCATCTCAGTATTTTCCTGCAATGCTTTTCCCTACCCCCTAACTGCTAAAGACAAGTGAATATCAAATCAGGCTACCCACAGCTGATCCTCTGTTCTCCAGGAACAGAACTACAGAGCCAAAAGAAGCAACATGTCTTCCAGTAGACAAGCCTGGGCATTCATGGAAATTAAGTCCCAGCAGTTCTGCCCAATGTACTTGCTGTGTGTGTCATTAATAAGTAGAGATACAGCCCAAAA